AAACGGGAAGAGTCTCTTCAGTTCCCTGGCAGCCCTCTAGGCTGCATTCTCCACAACTAGGTGATTTTCAGTTATGAATCCGTAAGAAAAAGATGGTATCTGGGGGGCACAACGTGTTACCACAATATCCTTTAGATTGTGGAGTGAAACGGCCTGAAAATGGATCCTTAAGTTCTAGTATAAATTTGTAACTGGATTTATTATAAATAAATAGATCTATAAATAAATAGATGTATTTTATAAGTGGGAAGAAAAATGGGATGAAATGCCTTCTGTGCAGCCTTTTATGTTATTGCATCGGAATAAACCTGTGCGAAGACGCGGCGTTACGGCCCCACAGGAAGGGAGGGCCAACAGAACACGACTTGTTGATTCATTGGAATCTCTGCCACCCTGATGGCCAGGCCACAGTCCCGCCCCCAGTCCCACCCCGATGTCTCAGGGTTGAGGAATAGGAGCGGTCTTGGTCTCCCTCTCTCATACCCGCCAGGGCGCTCCCCACACTCGGCAGGTCAGCATCCATTCCGGTAAGTCCCCGTTGGAGGTGTGAATGCTGGATGGATCAGGGTCCATGGATTCATTTAACTGGAAGAGCCATGTGCCAGCTTAGAGAGGGGACCACAGAGGACAGAAGATCTTAGATCTATCTTTGCAACTCACAACCCGACCTCGAAATTCATCAAGTACCCTCCTCACTTCAGTGAGAGGTGCTGGATGGAGCCAGGGAGGGAGGAGGCAGGCCTGCTTGGTGCAGAAGCCCCTGGCAACCTGGCCTGGGCTGCTGCAGGCATAGCTGTACCTGGAGCGTATCCAAACGGGGGACTGGCTGAGACTTGAACATTGTAGAGACTGCCTTCTTGCAGGACTGTGAACGAGGTGCTGAGACAAGCCTTAATAAAGAGTATGAAGTAAAGCAGAAACTGAATGAGGAGCCTTCAGAATTTCTAGAAAGGGTCTTTAAAGCCTGTAGATGAGGGGAGGGTACAACTCAGGGGTAGAGCACATGCTTAGCATGCACAAAGTCCTGGGTTCAATCCCCAGTACCTCCTCCCAAAATAAATAAATCTAATTACCTCCCCCCACACCAAAATAATTAAATAACACAATAATAAATAAATAATTTAAAAAAAAAGCCTACAGATATGCTAGACCCCGAGGACCCAGGGAATTTAAAGCTGACCAGTCTGCCTTGCACTGGGCAGCGTGACCCCGATATACAGAAGAAACTGTGAAAGATGGAAGGGGCTTTAGGGAATGTGTGTGTCTCAACTTGTTGCAATTCTTTCAAACTTCTTTTTCTTTTTTTTTTTAATGGAGGTACTGGGGAATGACCCCAGGACCTCATGCATGCTAAGCATGTGCTCTAGCGCTAAGCTGTATCCTCTCCCCCTGTAATTTCTTCAGAGTTCTTAATGGCAGAGACCAAGATCAGGAGAAAAGGGCACAATGGAGAAGAAAACAGGTTATTTTGCTGGCGGCGACCTGGACCCAGGGAGAAGCTGGACCGGACTGAGGACCCCACAAGGGACCCAGCCAAGGGGAGGTGGCCTTGAGCCCCCACTAGATGGGGCACCCGATAGTGGCGCCCCACCAACGTGCATGTTACAAACAGGAGGGACACATCTTAAGAGTGTCCTACGGTAAATTACTCTTGAAGAAGGTAAACATGTGTAGCCCGCCAGGTGCCTGAGCTGACAATGATGGTGACCATGGAGGACAGGCCCAGGGACTCCTTTAAATCCTGCCACGTCCAATACTGTCTCCTGCCCAGAGCCCCCGGGGGGCTGTGATAATGGAAAATCAGCTTTGGACTTCCTTTTGGACATGGGGGCCACTTACTTGGTTTTAAATACCTGGCTTTCTAAATTTTCTTCTCTAAAAAAAATTTTTTTTAGTTGACGTATAGTCAGTTTACAATGTGTCAATTTCTGGTGTACAGCATGTTTCAGTCATACATATACATATATGTATTCATTTTCATATTCTTTTTCATTATAGGTTACTGCAAGATACTGACTGTAGTTCCCAGTGCTGTACAGTAGAACCTTGTTGTTTATTTTATATATAGTAGTGTGTATCTGCAAATCTCCAACTCCCAATTTATCCCTTCCCACCCCGTTTCCCCTTTGGTAACCATAGGTTTGTTTTCTATGTCTCTGAATCTGTTTCTGTTTTGTAAATAAGTTCATTCATGTCATTTTTTAAGACTCAACATATAAGTGATATATATTTGTCTTTCTCTGACTTCATTTAGTGTACTATCTCTAGATCCATCCATGTTGCTGCAAATGGCATTATTTCATTGCTTTTCATGCCTGAGTAGTTTTCCATTGTATAAATATACCACAGCTTCTTTATCCAGTCATCTGTTGATGGACATTTAGGTTGTTTCATGTCTCGGCTATTGTAAACAGTGCTTCTATGAACACTGGGGTGCATGTGTCTTTCCTAATTAGAGGTCCCTCTGGTCATATGCCCAGGAGTGAGACTGCTGGATCACATGGTAGGTCTATTTTTAGTTTTTTGAGGAACCTCCATACTTTCCTCCATAGTGGCTGCACCAAACTACATTCCCACCCACAGTGTAGGAGGGTTTCCTTTTCTCCACATCCATTCCAGCATTTAACATTTGTAGACTTTATGATGATGGCCATTCTGACCAGTGTGAGAGGATACCTCACTGTAGTTTTGATTTGCATTTCTCTGATAGTGATGCTGAGCATCTTTTCACGTGCATGATGGCCGTCTGTGTGATTTCTTTGGGGAGGTTTGTTTAGATTTTCTGCCTATTTATTTTTAAAATTTTCCATTGTTGTTATTGAGTTATATGAGTCATCTGTATGTTCTGGAAATTGAAAAGGCTTGTCAGCCACCTTGTTTGCAAATATTTTCTCCCATTCTGTAAGGTTGTCTTTTTGGTTTTTTGTAGTTTCCTTTGCTGTGCAAAAGCTTATAAGTTTGATTAGATCCCATTTATTTATGTTTTTATTTCCATTACTCTAGGAGATGGATCCAAATGTTGCTGTGATTTATGTCAGAGAATGTTCTGTCTCTTTTTCTCTTGGAGTTTTTTATTATCCAGTCTTAGATTTAGGTCTTTAATCCATTTTGAGTTTATTTTTGTATATGGTGTTGGAGAATGTTCTGCCCTTGGACCTGGCACATGCAAGATTCTGTGTATACTTCCCAAGAGAGTGAAGTCTGTTTTCCCCAGTCCCATGGTCTCCTGGAGTTAAGCCCCACTGGCCTTCAAAACCAGGTGTCCTGGGGTCTCCTCCTTCCAATGTTGGGACTCCAGGCTGGGGAGCCTGATGTGGGGCTCAGAACTCTCACTTTTGTGAGAGGGCCTCTGCAACTTAGTTGTTCTTCAGCTTCACCCACCCAGGAGGTATGGGGCCCAATTATATTACGAGTACGCCCCTACCATCCCGCTGTGGTTCCCTCTCTATATTTCCAATTGAAGATCTTTTTTGCTAAGTTCCGGTCTTTCTTCTCTATGGCTGTCCAGCAGTCGGTTGTGGTTTTGTTGTAATCACAAGAAGAGAGTAGCTTGCGGTCCTACTGCTCCGCCATCTTGACCCGAAATTATGGAAAGTGAACAAGTAACATTCTTCACGTATCAAAACAGCAGCTATTAACAATGAGAGACGATGCCAAATGTTGGCAATGGTGCAGAAAAACTCTCTCGGGACCAGGCGAGCGTAACTAGAAGCTGAGTGTGGGCTCGGCCTCTTGCCTGTTTACTTTTATGCTTCAGAAGTGCTGCCGGCACAGTCAGTCATGATGCTCAGCAGTAAAGGAACAGGTAAGTCAGGACACAACCCTAATACAAGTATCGATGTACCCACCAGTAATGTTTTTCAAAAATATTCTGTAATGTGGAAAACGCCTGTCACAAAATGTTAAATGAAGCAGGATAAAAATAACACGTGGGGTATGCATCCAGTTTTGTTTTAAAAGAAAGAGCATGTATTTACACGCAGAGAAAAAACCATAAGGAGATGCATCTCCTGGTCATGACCTGTAAATAGGTACTGAATCATTTTTATTCTTATAAATTTGAGTTTTTTCAAATTCCTTCAATATGACATGTGTTACTTGTATGATAACAAGACAAAATTTATGTAAATAAAAGGACATCAGGACTCCCAAGAAAAGAGGGCCAAAGGTTATTTCAAATAGTTTCAAAGAAGAAAGACCAACATAAGAACACCTTCCATATTCAACCTCACTGGTTATGAAAAGGTGCCAAGTAAAGTAATCAGGTGCTGCTCTCAGCTGAGGACAACACCGTCCCACAGGGCAGATGGCAGGCACGGTGTCCAGGGCCCAAAGTGTTTTTGTTTGAATTTCTTTTAAAATAAAAATGAGTATGATAATTATCAAACCTAGATTGTATTTGTCTTCTGCCAAAGCAGTTGTCAGACAGAACTTTCCATTTGCCATGGAGGAAGGGCCGTGACTGCTGTGATGTGGCCCTGGGGGACACCAGAGGAACAGCAGGGTGGCCAATGTCCAGGACCATGGCCGTGTAGTCACCGAGCCCGGGAGAGCGCCCGTCTGGACCCCGCTTCCGAGCACCGGCTTCAGGAAGCGGACAAGCCTTTCCGCCGCCGCCGATTGTCCGTGCTGAGACGGTACGCCCAGCACACAACCAGAAGAGTACTGAAGTGATTCCGTAAGCTGTTCGTTCCCTTAGCTCACAATTTTCACTTCTAGAAATCTGCTCTAAAAAAATGCTAAAGTCATGTAATGCAGAAAGATGCTCCATGAAGAATGACTGATAATAGTGAAAACATAGAAATAACTTCCACAGCCCAGAGAAGAATACCTAACAGAATGCCAGGCCTCCATTTGGAATTACAGCCCCAGACAGTGCAGCTACTTGGGAAAAGATTCTGCTATGCAGCTAAGAGGAAGACAAGACTAAAATGCTATACTGTATGTATACCGTGTTTAAACTAATGAAAAAGGCTATATGTAAAAAGCAGAAGGTAACATATCAAAGCGTGAAATGCTGTTTTATTAAGAATTATGGGTATTTCCCCCTTAATTCTGTATTTCCTGAAATGTGGTTACTTTGCCTCCACAATTTAAAAAGTATACTAAAGAGCATTTTGTAAACTATAGCACTCTCTATACAAGTGTGAAGTATCACCACTGAGAAGACAGCTTATACCTGCTTAGAACTGAGTAGAAATGACACACTTCAAGCGTGACAAGCCCCAGAAGACCATGCTTTCTGCCTCTGCGAGAGCATGGGGGTGAGAGTCCTCGAGGGGCTCCTTGGGCGGGGTGGGGCCAGGCGGGGCGGGGCAGGGAAGCCGAGCTGCATGGTCCACAGAGAGGCACTGCAGGCAGCCTTGCCAGCCGGGGGTGACAGCGTGCTTCCAGACCCCTCTCTCCCAGATGCACGTACTTGTGTGTCCCACTTTCTCACCGCAGACAAGGTGGCCAGGCACGATGCTGTTGTATCAAGACCTGGCTCCTCGGATGCTGGGCTGGGTTCTCTGGCGGCTGCTATGTAAGTGAGCTGAGTCCAGAAAATTCACTTTTTCCCAAACCTCCACCATCCGAGATTAATCCCCCATCCTGGAATAGAATAATCTTCACTTGGAAGTAATGCTGTTCATAATTCTTGTTTTTTAACATCATTAACATAATAGTTTACAGAGGAAACTCCTGATCGAAATCATGCCAGGAGGCTGTCCAAGGACACAACAGCTGACATACCGTCTTTTTATCTGCAGAAATCATCTACTCCCCTTTCAGTGACTTCCAAACCCACCAAGGAAAACAGGACGGCGGGACATCCTCAAACGGCCCTCAACTCTCCTGCAGCATCTTCCTCCCGGGAGGCGATGGCAAGAGGTGCTTGCCTAAGGCAGGTGCGTGAAGCTGGGCCTCCTTGGGATGACCTCCTGCGTCAATTTCCAGGCTTGCTGCCCAGGGGGCAATTCCTGGTGGCTGAGGGGGGGACCACGCACAGGAGCTCAGCCATGTCCAGGGCATCGATGGGGTCCACGCCCGAGCCCCCCGTGCCCAGCAGGCCGCCGGGTACATAGTAGGTGCTGAGCAAGTGCTTGTCCAACTGGATGGCGAAGGGCTTCTCCTCGCTGTGGGCTCTCTGGTGCTCCGCCAGTGGGCCGCTCCAGCTGAACACCTCGCCACACTCGTTGCACTTAAACGGCTTCTCCACGGAGTGGACCTTCTGATGTTTAATGAGGCAGTGATTCTGGCTGAAGGCCTTGCCACACTGGCCACACTTGTAGGGCTTCTCCCCGGTGTGTACGCGCTGGTGCACGATGAGGGACGAGTGGCAGCTGAAGGCCTTCCAGCACCGGCTGCAGTCGAAGGGCTTCTCCCCGGTGTGCACGCGCTGGTGCACGATCAGGTAGGAGTGGGAGCTGAAGGCCTTGCCGCACTCGTTGCAGCGGAAGGGCCTCTCCCCGCTGTGGATGCGCTGGTGCACGACGAGGTAGGAGTGGCAGCTGAAGCCCTTCCCGCAGTCGCCGCACTTGAAGGGCTTCTCGCCCGTGTGGGTCCTCTGGTGCAGCGTCAGGCGGGAGCGGTTGTTGAAGGCCTTCTCGCAGTCACTGCACTTGAATGGCTTGTCACCATTGTGGATCTTCTCGTGCACCGTCAGGGATGAGTGGCAGGTGAAGGCCTTGCCGCACTCGGCACACTTGTAGGGCTTCTCCCCGGTGTGGATCCTGTGGTGTCGCGTCAGGTGTGTCCTCTGGTTGAAGGCCTTGCCGCACTCAGCGCATTTGTAGGGCTTCTCGCCGGTGTGGACGCGCAGGTGCATGCTGAGCAGGGAGCTGCAGCTGAAGGCCTTCTCGCAGGCGCCACACTTGTAGGGCCTCTCGCCCGTGTGGATGCGCTGGTGCACATTCAGGGACGAGTGGCAGCTGAAGGCCTTGCCACACTCGCCGCAGAAGAAGGGCTTCTCGCCGGTGTGGATGCGCTGGTGTTCCAGGAGGTTGGTGCTCCAAGTGAAGGCCTTGCCGCACTCGCCGCACTTGTAGGCCTTCTCCCGCGTGTGCCAGCGCCGGTGCAGCGCCAGCGCCGTGCTCTGCTGGAAGGCCTTTCCGCAGTCTCCGCACGCGAAGACGCTGGCCCCTTCCCCACTGCCCCGCCGCCTGCCAACGGGCGGCTGCTTCCCACTGGACTTTCTCCCCCTGCCGGGTCTCTGCCGCCAGCTCCCGGCCCCGCTAGGTGGGAAGCTCTCTGCGTGTCCGTCCAGAGAGCCTCCTGCTGCGGGGATGGCGCACCTCGGGTGAATGTCCTCCTCAGACGCCCTGTGACCCTGGCAGCGCTCCTCCGTGGAAATGTCCTCAGCGCTGGCGGGCACGGGCCTCCAGAGCACAGCCTCGTCACATGACAGAGCAGTCACCAGGCCACCCCAAGCACCACCATCACCCAGATTCAGGACGTGGAGACCAGACGGCGCCACCTGCTCTGAGACAGGCTCCCACGAAGGCTCTTCTTTGTAAATGACCAGCTGCTGAGGTGACAGCTCCCCGATCTCAGGCCTGGGCCCCCGCTCTATAAGAGACAGAGACACAGTCTTCTGAGGGCAGGTGGGTGCGGTGCCAGGACAGGTCTGAGCTCTGACCCAGAGCACAGCAGGGTGCAGAAGAAAGCAGACACCCAGTGGGCGAGGGGGCTGGGGCTGAGCCGAGGGGAGCACGAGCAGGTAGGAAGGAACAGGAAAAGGAGCCTGGTGGGTTGGGGGGAGGAGCCACTCCTGGGCTCTGGAGTCGCCTACAACTAGCAGCCCCACGTGTGGATCAGCCAGCCAGATGCTGCTTCTCCCACCAGCAGGAGACAGCTGCTCTGTGCGTGCTCTTCCCTGCCGTATTCCCAGCACCGTTCCTGGCATGTAGCCAGTGCTCAAGTAAGGAAGAAAGGGAAGCAGAAGGAGGGTGGTGGGGAGGGGTCCACGTCCTCCCCGCCACGTCCCGCTCACCTGGATGCACCCCTCCGAGAACCTCTCTGGGCACCCGCCATGGCTCCTCACCTCGCTCCAGGTGGGAGATCACGTCGGGCTTGCAGACCGGAGGCCCTGTTCATGGGAAGAAGTGGCAGGCTGTGGGTGCTGCGGCTCTACAGACCCAGCCAATGGGACCGATGGCCCTGAAACAGCCCAGCTGGCAGCAGGAGGTGGATGCCAGCCCTGGGGATGGGGTCTCAGAGGCAGAACCCACACAGGTGTGTGCTCCGAGGGCTCCACAGGTACCGACATCCCCCTCAAGAGCAGGTGGGGCTCCCGGGCCCTGTCCACAACCCTCTCTCTTCTAGGCCCAGCCCTGGGACCGGCCACATTTCCAGAGATGCCAGCGGCAGCACAGACCCATGCCACTAGGGCTTGGGGCAGGGACCAACCACAAGCCTGCATCCTGCCCGGGCCCAGAGCCCAGGCAAGCACCTGCTGCATGGCAGATGCCCAGACTCCGTGGCCTGGGGAGCTGTCTTACCCAGGGCGAGAAGGTTCTGGTAGTTCTCCAGCATCACATCCCGGTACAGGGCCCTCTGAGGGGAGTCCAGCTGGCCCCACTCTTCCTGGGTGAAGTCCACGGCCACATCCTTGAAAGTCACCGATTCCTGGAATGACAGACGTTCGTTCTCACCCAGGATGGGAGAGACTCTGCTTCTGTTCTTGGACAAACGCTGACTGAGGACCACAGCAGTAAAGTGATAACCTTGGGTAACCCTCCATCCAGACACCATCTGTCCCACAGCCCTGATGTACATGCCATGACTGGGCCAAGAGTAGCCATGTGGGGCCTGGCTAACTGGGCCAGCAGACGGACCAGAGGCTGTGGTCCCAAGTTCTGGGCAAGAAGCTATATTTCACATGGTCAAGGACACCAGACTTAAAGAACTTGAAATGTAACACGAAGAACCCAAAGCCCTATTCAGATGTCACCACTGCAGGACCCAACCCCATCCAGGAAGCCATCACCACACCCTAAGGAAGGAGACTCTGCACTCGTTGGAGTTCCGGGCCCAGGTGACCAATGGCTGCTCCCTGCCCTCCCTGCCTGTCCCACTTCTTCCTGCCGGACCCCTGCTCCCCGGCCCACCCCACCCCAATCTGCTCCACCTTCCCCAACACTGGTCACCAGTTTCAGGGTAACTCCCCAACTTGGCCATTCCAGTTCCAAGTTTGGAAAGCCCCAAGTGACTCCCCTCGGGCTCCTGCTCTGGAACTCCAGGATCCTCACCCCCTCACCACCTGCCAACCCCCTCAGCTGCTGCCCCGCGGTCTCCACGCTCTGGACCACCCCTAACCCCGGCAAATAAGTGCTCAAGGCTCAGGGCTCTGACCGCAGGCAAGCTGCGTCCTAAACCACTGCCACTGGCTGTTCTTTCCACAGACGCTGGTGCCCTAGGAGCCCGTCTGGAGCTGTAGAGAGGGTGTCAGCATAGATGTGACAACAAAGAATAAACCCAGGGAGGGAGGAATGGGTTCCTACCTCGCATCTGCTGGGGAGTGACTGGTGTGGGCCAGCAGTGTGTCCAGGAACCCTGGATGTGCAATGGGACCCAGGCGGCCGAGGGGAGTGGTGTCCCACCTCTAGGCAAGGCCTACACCTCCCTGGCAGTCAGGAAAAGTAGGGACCCTCTCTGGTCACTGGAGAGCTGACCTTCAGTTCTAAAAAAGGCTTACACTTTTAGTTACTCCTGATGCTGTGGACTGAACTGTATCCCCCCAAAATCTGTTGAAGCCCTCACCCCAGTGTGGCTGTATCTGGAGGGCCCCGAGGAGGTAACTGAGGTTACACGGGGTCCACAGGGGCCCTGACCCCACTGGACTGGCATCTTATGAGATGAAGGTCTCCCTCCCCACCACGTGCACCAAGGAAAGGCCAAGTGAGGACATGGTACACCTGCAGGCCAGGGAGAGAGGCCACACCAGACCTGGACCCCGATGGCCCCCTAACCTCAGACATCCAGACCCCAGAACTGTGAGAAAACACACTTCTGCTGTCTAGGTCCCAGACTGTGGTACTTTGTCACGGCAGCTGGAGCTGCCCAAAACAGATGCCAGTAGCAGACGGTCCAAGGTGACACCTCTCCTCCCGCTAGGCACTCGGTGTAGCTCTGGAGGAGTGAGGGTCTGAGCATGATGACCCCAGGAGACACTCCATAAACCCCTGGGCAGCAGAAACTTTAAGTGGGACAGGAACCCAGAAACCACAAGGAGATTTATATTTGGTCCACAACAGTTAACATTTTCTCTACAGTGCTCTGCCAAATCACTAAGAAAAAGGAAAATAAGAGGAAAATGGGCACAGGCTACGAGCAGACGATTCACAGGAAATCCCAAAGGCTGCTGAGCTCTGGAAGAGATGCTCAGTCTCAGCAGGAGTTCCAGAAAAGAAAAATGCAACAGCAAGCCCCTTTCCCAGGCACCAAATATTTAAGGTCTCAGAGCACCAAGCTAGGGCCAGAATGGGGTGGCCCTCCACCCTGGGTAGCTGTCGGGGGACCCCCACCTTTGGAAAGTGGTCCCTGGGCCTGGTCCACCTGGCAGTTCCCACCAGCCCTGAGCAGCCGGAATAGAGGGGGAGCCCACTGAGCACCTACCAGCAGTGATGGACACAGGATAGAGGACCATGCTGCAGGGAGAACGCAGAGAGGAATTTCCTCCTGCTGTACAGGACACTGAGCAGAGTACCCGGAAAGGCACCACCTCAGCAGTGAGGCAACATTAGCCTGAGATCAAAGGCTTCTCTGGATCCACCTTAAGAAAACCTAAAAGTAAGCCTTGGAAGGATCTGATACTAAACAATTTCACTGCATCCCGGAACAAATCCCAAAAATATTTAAGGCATTAAGTCCAACACTCAACAAAGTAAAATGCAACCTGTCCAGTAACCAATCAAGTAACTAAAAGGAGAAACAAGTTACTAAAGTCAGAAGAATTAAGAATATCATAAAACGGGGAGGGTATAGCTCAGTGGCACAGTGCGTACTTAGCATGCACAGGTCCTGGGTTCAATCCCCAGTACCTCCATTAACAAATAAATACATAAATAAATCTAATTACCTACACAGACATGCAATTTTTTTAAAAAAAGTATCATAAAATAATATTTACCTCAAAAGAAAGCACTAAGGGAGAAACAAATCAAAATGATACCACACATGTAGAAAACAAATAGCATAGTGGCGGATGTAAATCCAGCCATGTCGATAATTATATTAAACATGAATGGTCTAGATATTCCAAATAAAAATTAGAGATTCCCAAACTGAATTTAAAAAGAGCCAACTATATGCCAGCTACAGAAATCCAATTTAAATATAAAGATAGACTAAAAGTGAAAGAATGGAAAGAGATATACTCTGCAAACACTAATCAAAAGAAAACTGAGACAGCTGTATTAACATCAAAGCACAGACACCATCAGAGATAGACATTACATAATAACCATTACACGAATGTGTAGTGATCATTATTACAGTACATCAAGAGCTCACAAGAATCATATAGAGGCACCTCCTAACAGAGCCTCACAATACATAGAGCAAAAATGATAGAAATGAAAAGAGAAATAGACAAATCTACAATTATACTTGATGATTTCAACAATAATCTTTCTTAATAACTGATAGAATATATAAGCACAAAATCTGTCAGGATACAGAACAATTGAATAACACTATCATTCAAGTTTATCTTAACTGCCATTTACAGAACTCTAGCCAACAAAAGCAGAATACACATTCTTTTCAAGTGCACACAGAACATTTACCAAAATAAACCTCATGCTGGGCAATAAAGTCAGTCTTTGTACGATTTGAATTTTTTTCAAATTTACTAAGTTCCTTTTCTGATTATAGCATAATTAAATTAGAAATAATAAAAGATATCTGGAAAATCCTCCGCATACTTAGAATTAAACAACACACTCCTAAATAATACATGGTTGAAGAAGAAATGAAAAGAAAATTAGAAACCATTCTGAACTGAAGAAAAGGAAAATACAACGTAACAAAATCTGTAGGATGTAGCTAAGGCAGTGCTTAGAGGGAAATTTACAGCATTGAATGCTGTATAAGAAAAAAGGTGTCAAATCAATATCTAAGTTTCAACGTTAAGAAACCAAAGTAAAGGAAGGAAATGATAAGTATCATAAATGAATTAAATAGAGAACACAACAGCAATAAAGAAAATCAGTGAAACCAAAAGATGGATCTTTGCAAAGATCAATACAATCAGTAATTAAACATGTACTTACTATCTGACTCAGTAATTCCACTCTCAGGTATGATTCAAGAGAAAGTAAAACACACATCTGTGCTTGTACTTGAACATTTATAGCAGGTTTACTTGTCATAGCCAAGAGCTAGAAACAACCAAAATGTCCATCAGCTAGTGAGTGGAGAAACAAATTGTGGAGTATGTATACAACGGTGTTATGGGCTGAGCCGTGCTCCCCCCAAATTCGTATGTTGAAGCCCTAACCTCCAATACCACAGAATGTGACTATATTTGAAGACAGGGACTTTAAAGAGGTAATTAAGGTAAATGAGGTCATTAGGATGGGCCCTAACACCACAGGACTCGTGTCCTCATAAGAAAAGGAAATTTGGACAGGCACGTACAGAGGGGAGACCATGAGAGGACCCAGGGAGAAGCACCATCTACAAACCAAGGAGAGGGGCTCAGAGGAAACCAATCCTACTGACACCTTGATCTCAGACTTCCAGCCTCCAGAACTGTGACACAATAAATTTCTGTTGTTTGCGCCACTTAGTCTGTGGCACTTTGCTGTGCCAGTCCAAGAAAACTAACACAAATGGAACATCACTCAGCAATCAAGAGGAACAAGCTACTGATCACATAAGGACATGAGCTCAAAAGCATGCTAAGTCAGTCAGAAACAAAAGACTGCATATCGCATAATTCCATGTGAAATTCCTAAAAAGGCAAAATCATAGTGGTTTCCAAGGGACAGGTGGGAAAGATCAACTGCAAATGGGCACGAGGGAACTTTCTGGGTGATGGATCATGACTGTGGCCCTGGTTACAAACCTGTATACACTTGTTGAAACTCACCAAATTTTACACAAAATGAGAGAAACTTGTTGCCTATAAATTATACCTGAATAAGACAGATTTTAGGGAGTTGAGAAGGTGGAGGTGAGGACACACGCTGAGAACATGCTCATTAGTGAGGGGCGCAGGGATGAAGCTGAATGGTGATGGCACTGACAGAGAGAGGAGGAAAAGGGGCAGAAACAGAGCTCCAGAGTCATCGGAATATGGTGCTGGTGAGGGAGGGCTGTCAGAGGTTATGTGGCTTCAGCGTGGCCTAAGCCTTGCATAGGCCCTTCTGGGGAGTATTCCTAACCCAGTGGGAGAAGCCCCTGTCTGCTATGTCTTCATTCTGCAGGGTAGGAAGCAAAACGGGGTGAGCGTGGGAATCGAAAGCAGACGTGGAAATGAAACTAGCAGACGAGTCAGAAGAGACCACAGGGGACGTCCCAGGAGAGCACACCCCTCGCCCTCAGTGTGAGACTGCTGGGAGACGAGGGCCAGTTACTCAAAGACCTAAGAAGCTTGTATTTTAGGAGTAACGTCTGTCCACATGAAGGGCAGGACCCCTCGAGGTGATCACTCACTCACACCACTTTCTCCTGAACCACTTGAAGGTAAGGTGCAGACATCGTGACATCCCACCCTACATTCTTCAGCTTTATCTCCTAAGGATATTCTTATACAACCACCATCATCACACCCACGTAATTAAATATTCATACAATATAATCGAAGACACAATCCATTTTCAGCTTTCCTCAATCTTCCCAAATTGCCTGGGATAGAACTTTTGGATCTATGACCCACAAAGGATCACATACTGCATGTGCCTGTTATGTCTCCCAAGTGTTTACAGAACTATAGAACATCCTAGCATAATACAAAAGCTGGGCAGGTCTCACCTTACGTGTTTTACAGCCATTTCTACCTTTCAGGTGGAAGGGTGGCAGAATTGCCAAAGCCTAAATAAATCAAAAGACCCTCAACCCTCCAGATTTTTCACCATCCACACAGTCTTTATCAACCATACCCTTCTAAATTTGACGGGTAGGGGTGGTTTAGATGGTAGAACAAAACGGGGAGCAAAACCCAAAGTCTGTAAAAGGAGGGGTTTGCCCCTCACTCAACTGTGAAAGCAGCCCTAAGGCCAATTCCCTGTTGAGCCCCTGGATCCTCTAAAACTGCAGGCTCTTCCCTGAAGGCCCCATGTTAGGGGCCTGGTACAGAGGAAAAGGACACAGGGACGCACCCCCTACCGTCACTCTGACACCAGCGCTGCAACGCAGCCCTTCCTTCAGCTGCTCCACACCCTTCTACTTAGTTCCATCCCAGAAAGCTTCTCCAAACAAGGACCAGCTGCCACAGACATCCCCTGAGTCTGCACATGGAGATGAGCGATGTTACATGAGCTGTCACCTACTTGCTCGGGTGCCACAAGAGCCACTCCTCAGAGCTCCAGGCAGAGTGCTGGGCAACGAGTCCAGTGATGGACTGAATCAGCCTGGAAGGGACACTCATCTCCAGGGCACACCTGGGCGTCACCCGGGCCCCTTCACCCTGAGCTGTTCCCACGCCCAGAGCCTACTGAGGACGGAGAGCAGGCGCCCAGGTAGGGAGTCCTTGGATGATTGACATTCTGGGCAGCGGAAGGATGGTGCTAACCCTCTTCGTAAAAAACCGTAAGTTCAAAGGAAGAAAAGACAGCCACTCACCTCGCACCTGGCTTGCAGGAGACCCTGACCCATTTTATCTTCTGGAATCTCTTGGCGGGAAAGAGCAGGGTCCTGAGAGGGGAGAGCTGGGAAGCAGACATGAGTTAACGGGGCTGTTCTGCCCACAGCTGCCAGGCACACCGGCTGAGCTAAAGCCCACGCACCCCCGGCCCTGGGAGAATCAAGGGGAGGAAGGTATCGCCCCGCAGGTGGGTGGGAGCGAGCCCCAGCCTCCGCAAGTTCTGCTACAGCTAATTCCGCAACCCAGCGTCTCAGGCCCTCCCGTGACGGAGAAGCAGCGCCATTCCCTTCCCCTCATCAGCCCGGCTGCCCACAGTGACCAGGAAGGAGGCCTGATTCCGGGGCGCTTCTGGGACACCAGCCGCCCTCTCTGAGAGCAAATCCACAGGCCCATGCCCGACGGGCCCAGCAGTACCTGTCTCCCGGGGCTCCGGGGCCGGGGTCTCCATGGCGCCTTCCTCTGCGGCCGCCACGGGGTGGGGCCCGCTCCTGGCGCTCAGGACACCTCTGG